CATCATATTCCATTCATTTGCAACATTGCCCTTGTTACATCGTCTAAAAGGCATTCTTGTAGGTGGTACTCTTCGATCCGGGTAGTATCCTTCGAGAGTCTTTATCCTTCACCTTCTTTTCGCCTGAGGCCAACTTCTGAGTATCTGGATACCTCATATCACATTTAAATATTCGCCCTCCCGCCTCAACCTTGGCGTTTACTGAGACTCGATCTCGGTTCACCTAGGATTGACCGTTTGGAAGACTCCGGCCACTCTCACTACGACTTATTTACAGCTGGCTGTCACTCCCTTTCGTTCACCCTCGTTTGCGGCCATTCAAGTTGACCTTGTTTGACCGTTGATATATATGTTCTCCTGACATCGCCGCCTACCTCTCGAAGCAAACATTCTTTCACTCTTATGACGATCATATAAACCCATCCCAATAGGTCTCTCCCGCATACATACTACACCCCATACTAAACCTTTATACGGTTTATCTGATAACACTCATTTTACGATCACGATCACGGCATTCCATCGTTATGGCTGGAGGAACAGAGAAAGGCCCCGGCGAGGGCCAGGCCGCAGGATGGACACCTGAGATGGAGAACGAATCACTCTCCAATTATCTACTGATCGTCTGTGGTGCTGTCTCGGTTGCCCTCATAACCTGGCGCCTCACGACTGCACTCACCAGATACATCCGAACCGCCACGAGTCTAACGAACGATACTCAACGATACTACGCACGCGCGTCTACCAAGTTCTCCTGGATCAAGAAGAACCTCCTTTACTCTCCATTATTCCGGAAGCGACATAACCGAGAATTTCAATTGAGCAGCGCCATCAATGTTGGCACACTACCAACGCGGTTCCAGTTCTTATTCCTGGCTGCTTACTTCGCCACTAATGTCGTCTTCTGTGTCGTTCATATTCCCTTCGAGAGCTTCGAAGATGCTTGCAAGCAGTTGAGAAACCGGAGCGGAACGTTGGCTACTGTGAACATGATTCCCTTGTTCCTTATGGCCGGCAGGAACAATCCCCTCATTGGCCTTCTTAACATCTCCTTCGACACGTTTAACCTGATGCATCGGTGGTTTGGCCGTATCGTGGTGCTTGAGGCAATATGTCACACCTTTGCCTTCTGGGCGGCATCGGCGTCGGCGAACGGATGGGCAGCTGCTCTCAATACGACGGTCACGAGGCCATTCATGCTCTATGGGTTTATTGTAAGTCTCACCTACCACTACTCTGGATATTTGATGTTTTACTGACACAGTCTAGGCCACAATTGCCTTCACTGTCATCTTCTTCCAAGCCTCGAGCATCGCCAGACACGCATATTACGAATTTTTCAAGATTATGCACATTCTCCTCGCCGCGCTCGCCATTGCCGGCCTCTGGTATCACTTTACATTGGCCGATATCTCCGCAATCAAGTGGCTGATTCCAGTCATTCCCATCTGGCTTGGCGACAGGATCATCCGTGTTGTGCGGATAATCTATCACAACTTCGGCAAGGGAGGAACAAGGACGCTCGTAGAGGCAATGCCTGGCAATGCCGTCCGTGTCACCGTGACGATGGCCCGACCTTGGACCTTCCGTCCTGGTCAGCACGCATACTTGTACATGCCGTCCATCAGCTTCTGGCAGTCTCACCCGTTCTCCCTCGCTTGGAGCGAAGAAGCAGAAGACCTGAAGGCGGACAAGCTAGCTGTGACTCGACAAGATGTGCTTGCTATGCGCAAGACCAGCATGTCGTTCATCATTCGCGGACGGACGGGAATGACTCACACCCTCTATCAAAGGGCTGCAGCACGTCCCGATGGCCGGCTTATGACGACGTGCTTTGTTGAGGGACCATATGGTGGAGAGCACATGATGCATTCGTACGGTACGGTCATGCTTTTCGCCGGAGGCGTGGGTGTTACTCATGCTGTTCCTCACGTCCGAGACCTGGTTACGGGGTTCGCAAACGGTACAGTGGCCACACGGAAAGTGATATTAGTGTGGATCATACAAAGCCCCGAACACCTCGAATGGATTCGACCGTGGATGACGGAGATCCTAGCTATGGATAGACGACGCGATGTACTACGCATCATGTTGTTCGTCAGTAGACCACGGTCGACAAAAGAGATCCATAGTCCATCGTCTACAGTCCAGATGTTCCCTGGTAGACCCAACATTGAAACGCTCATCTCTATGGAAGCAGAGCAACAGGTTGGGGCTATGGGTGTGTCGGTATGTGGGCCTGGTGCTCTCAGCGACGAGGTCAGACAAGCAGTGCGTCGGAAACAATATGACACCTGCATCGACTTCATTGAGGAAGCCTTCTCGTGGTAGATGAGGCTAGCTAGCTTTTAGCTATCAAGGACACAGAATGGTTACATATGGGTGTTTATACGAGGGGACAGGTTCCGGTTGTGTTATACGGCCACTTCATTCGATTGTGCATATTTCTTTTTTCTGCGGCCGCCGTCACAGTTTCGTGTAAATACTTCTTCGATGGTAGATGCGTGGGCCCGACACCTAGTGATAGTCATGACCGGATAGCTCGAGAACATGATACGATAAACCATACTTATAACATGTGAAATGTGACTATGTAAACTGACCAGAGAATCTAGGCTGTCGTAAAATTAATTCTCGAACTTGCTCCCTACCTAGTTCCGTCGGCTTGATACACTGGATATAAATAATCCTGAAGAAACGGTTACAATATTCTTTAATCTACCTAGGCAATCTAGGCTATTCAACCATGATCCAGGCAGGTTAAAGAATCCTTCATAGAATATTCTACGGGTTACATACTTAGGTAACTGCGGGAGGATTCAAAGGGTGTTACTGAGTCCGCAGGTTACATTACTAAATTAAGGTAACACCCGCCCCGTCAGGTGGCACCCGTTGAATTCCTTATCGGCATCCATGTTCATGGGGTATCAGCTGTAAAGTAGCGGGGCTGCGGGGTTAGTTTGTTAGGGAACGGCTAAGCTCAAAGCAGGATAGCGAGGGATAAGTACCCCTCGGCGCCCCTCGGAACGACATGAGATAAGCACTGCAGCTGGAGCCTTCCGGATGACCTCAACCGAAATACCACATCACGCGTGAGTGTTTCTTACTTTTACCTTATTCTTCTTCTTCCCTCCACACCGCAAACATTATGTGCCTGAGCCACCTATGATACACCTCTCGTCAGCAGAGTAAACCACAAACAAAGATCTGTCCTGCGTTGTCAATATTGTCAGACGGACAGATCCATCTCTAATCTCGCGATTCCCTCTTCTCAAACAATCTATCTATACTATACCACCTCGATATTTGCATCTACCGCCTACTACTGTTCATAAATCAGCCTACAGAGTAGCTTCTATCAGCTGCACCCCTTCACGCATTCTAGTCAAGCGAATAACAACAAGTTCAATACCCGAACCGATTCAGGCCGCGTGGAGATATTTCGGGCACGATGGGTCTTGCGTACAACACGTATCTTAATAGCAACAAGATCTACGGATGCAAGACTTGTAAAGCCCACCTCGCTAATCATGAGGAGATTATCAGTCGGGTACGGCGCTCCCTTCCCTCCCTCTTTAATCTAAGTTCCCTCCTCGGGCTCCCGAGTACCGCACATTATTCCTACCATGCATCTAGCCCAAGCCTACAAGGTCCACTCACTAAACATAATTTCCCGCTTCTTAGAACTTCCGCGGCCAGCACGGCAAGGCGTACCTGTTCAACACGGTGGTCAACATCGACGCGGGCGAGCCGTCGGAGCGCAGCATGACCACGGGCCGCCACATTGTGCGTGACATCACGTGCAAGCAGTGCAAGGAGACGGTTGGTTGGAAGTACGACCGCGCCTACGAGTCTAGTGAGAAGTACAAGGAGGGCAAGTACATCCTCGAGGCCGAGCTGCTGTGTAATGTCAGCTAGACGGCGGTTGTCTTCTCTCTATTGACCGATCGAACGGACGAACGGAGCGATGTGGTTGCGGTTAGTCTTAAGGGGAGTCAGTTCCTGCTGAACAGGGTGGGATTCCTATGAATTTTATTTTATCGGCGGTGTGTTTTCCATTTGCATCGTCGAGTGAGACGGGGTGGGATTAGGTTCGATACGGCGGAACCTATCCATATACGCGGCGTGTTTTATTAGCATGGACAAGCAGGCATGGGTCAGGCGTATACGGCTCGTTAGGGATGGGTGTATTCGATGATTTCAGGCAATCATTCTAGATGGGAGAGGGCAAACGCTTTCGTTGATTCACAGGCACACCTCGGCATCCGAGGTAGACAAGCGCCCACGGAGGTCTTCTGGGGCTAGACGAGACTCTCTTACTCGACAAGTTCTTCGATAACTCCCGACTTGTCTGAGGGTTCTCCTAGATATGGGTAGATACCTACCTAGTTTTCCACTTCACGGCTTGCATTTTACATCTCTCTATCACTACAAATGCCGCTGGCTCTTGTGCACCATTCCGCAAGGATAATGTAAGCGTGCTGAATTAATCATGGACTTTCGGCTAGCCATCGTTCGATATGAGGTATTAGATCGTATCTGATGGCTTACATAAAGGTGATCTGAACTTGCACAAGAAAACACAAGGGGGATGGGGGGAGGGGGATAACTCTAACCAAGAGGAGGCTGCAGATACTTAGGTCTCCTTGCGTGAGATAGGGAATTCTTCCTAATAGTTACATGAATACGCCCTCGAGAAAACCATCGTCATCTTCTTTGTCTGCAAGGAGGTCGAAAGGGGATGGATATAAGCCATAATCTAGTGATAATGTAGTAGGAGGCAGTTTTGCCCTATTTTAAAAGAGTAAGGGAGGGGATACAGGGGAAAGGGGGGCAGCAAGATCTTGGAAGCCAGATACATACATCGACAGGATAAGAACAAGATGGTGATGGGCAAAGGGGGAGGCCCAAATTTTTTTTATTAAACTGAAAAAGGGGGTTAAAAGAGGTGCTTCGGCCCCGACGTGAACCCTCGCCCTCTCGTCCAAAAAAGATCGATTAGCACCCACCGGGACTTGCACCCGGGCCTTTCCCTACCAGTCGGCCACGACAGGGGAACGAGTTAACTGCTACTCCATAGGCGCCTGATTCCAGCGTTGACTGTCTTGTGGTGGTTGGTGGTTTAGGATGTATTATAAGGCCTCCGCCGGTTGGTGCAGACTGGGGAAACGGCAACCGCGGGACAGACGCGGAAGGCAGGAACGGCGCGTGTGAGGATGCGTTTAAGGAAGGTGTGGACTACACGTCTCTTGATCTATCTAATCTACCTAGGTAACTGCTGGCCTTACTTGCCTACCAGCCTACATTCTGTCTACTTGTTTATTTGTCTCCTCTGACACTCTGAAATATGGTACGACTTAGATCATATAGTCTGTGAAGACTGTCATTCTGTAAGCTTCCGATGTACCCTTCATAAAAAGAAGTATGTGAACTGGAACAAATGTAAACTAACGGGTAGATATTCTGTTGGACTGAATAATGCTAAAACCAAGAGGCCGTAGTAAGTGTGAGCCAGATAGTGTAGATTATAGGTGTCTAGTATCGTGATACACTGTTAGGCACCATGATTCAAGTCCTCGTCTTCTACCAAGGCTCGTCTCTCATCTGACCTGCACATGATAAATAGACAGATGAAAAGACATACATGAACACTAAATACCAAGGTATCATAATGCTAACTAGCTTTATTCCCTTCTCTACTCCCTGCTTTACCTTTCCCCTTAACTGCAATATATTGGCTGACCTGCCCCTATCTGGCACCCCCTTTTTGATAAACAAGTCTAATAGTCAACGGTCTGTTGGTAAAGGTGATCTTGTCTACAGCCCAAAGATGTTGGTCTCCTTCAATGAGCACGTAGATTGTCTCTTCCTCTATTATATTTACGAAAGAGTTTAGGCATTGGAAGGTAAATGTACCTAGGTAGATATATGCAGTGGACATAGGGACTCGATGAAAAGGTACCTAGGTAGGCACCTAACCTGTCTCATTGAGGTGGCTTCTTTCAGTATTAAACGACAACGTCAACAGGATAACCCTCCTAATGTGGCTAACACCCTTAATAGTATAAACGTGTAGACATACAGAGTTATACGTTATATAACTATTCAAGTTACGTCGATAAATAGTATCGGTGGTTGTGTAGGACAAACTGATGTATGAAACAAAATGAAGCCGCTTGACTTAAAACCTGTGAGACAAGGGAAATGACCGGGAGCCATACAAAACACCAACGAACGCCGTGCAATGCAATAATTTATATCTTCCCAATCAAGAAACCGAGCTGCTGTTCGAACTATCCAGAGATGTCAAGCCCAGCCCCATACAGCCTTATACAGCGGCAAGTACCAATCAGTCGGAAACCTCTAGTTGTGCTCGATGGGCTCCTCGGGAAGCAGCTCCTCTACCTCCTCTCTCGGCCGAAGGAACTTCATCGGCGGCTGCACGACGCCGTTGAACAGGAAGGTAAAGTACACTAGCAGCGCGAACCCTACGACCTGCAGCCACTTAAACGTCTCCCAGCCGAGGCCGAGCGAGACGACCCAGATGAACAGGGTCCGGCAGCTGTCGATGGTCGACCGGGCCGTCGCGCTGACGCTGCGGGTAACGGAGAGTCCAAAGAAATTGAAACCTCTGGTAATCTAGTAAGCATCGCCGTCAAAAGCCAAAATGTATGAATATTAACTCACCCAATAGAGACCATGATCAGAAGACTAGTACTCCACACGACACGATCCTCGGTCATCTGCCGGAAGCCTTCGACCATGTCGAACATGCCGTATCGACCGGCGTCCGTTCTTCCGACGGCGAGGTGCAGCACTAGCATGCCGATCAGGGTGACAGCAAGGCCAAATAGACCCTCCCAGCCCACCACCTCGAGGGGGTCGATGCTGGAACGCTCCAAGAGGAACTCCTCGAGGACGAACTGGGTGGCAGTAAAGATCTGCGCACCGGCAATGAGAATGACGCCCACGGCAGCGCGTAGCGCATCAGTGGACGCTGCCTCTTCCGCTGCCTGTCGTAGGGCACCGGTAGCTTCGGCCTTAGCATCGGGCCAGATAATGCCAGCGAGTCCGACGAGTCCGACACCGACGACGACACCGACTAGGGAAGTCCACTGGAACAAGTGCAGCTTCCGGTGTAAGAAGACAACACTGAATAGGCCGACAAATAGCACCAGGGCGCCCCTGGTCATCTGGTAGATGGAAGCAGCTACCATTACCAGGCCGGCGTTCACGAGCGTCGTGCCGAGGATATCGCAGATGGCGGGAAGCGCGAGAAGCATAATACCGAAGCCTCGGAGGAGGCCATCTGGTCCCTTGCGCTTGACGGGAGCTTCGATAAGCGGATGCTCGGAGTTGATGCTCGCAGCATCGTCGTTCGCGTCCCCGTCATTGTTTGCGACGGCCTGGTACCCGTTCGACTTCGGACTCTTCCGGGCCACGAAGCGCTGGTACACTGCCATCATTGCAACAACGAGCCAGCATCCCACCTCTCCCACGAACATCTGAGCCGTCTGCAGGACGGGTTGGTCGAAGTGTTTCCATTTCGCGGGATCGGGGTCGTCGCAATTCCGGACACATTGGTTGTCCTGGGACAGGTGACATAGATTAGCGAGCTGCCGGGCCAGTTCGGCAGGGGTAATTCGTGATAAGACAGGACTTACTTGATATTTTGTCAATAGTGTATTGCAGACTCCCGTGAGAAGCATCATCCCCACTAAAAAGGGGATGAGTGCCTTGGACGTCATTGTAACGGTAGTTGTCGGGGGGTGTAGGAGTCTCGTGCCAGCAGGAGATAGGGAACAGATAGTGAAACCCGGTCGGGCTCTAGACTGTATAATAATATATAGAGAGAAATAGGACAGCCTCTACTAGAGACTGAAGGTGCTTTGATGAGCTTCTGCGAATGCGAAGCTCCCGGAAGTTGGCGAGTCACACTACAAGGTGAGGTTGCGTGTGAGTAGTGTCAGAGCAGCCTGGGAACTGGCCGCGTGGTTTGGCTGATAAGTCGATAAGCGGCATATCTTATGTAAGGGTTAAAGAGCCGGAAGCATACAAACTTGGAAGTACTTCGGTGCTAAACGTGCACTTTAAAGCTAAGACCAGAGGGTCCCCACCATTGGTCAGGCGATTAGCCTTACGATATCAAGCTTGATTATCATTGGTTCAGCTAGAAAACCCCGGACCCTAGAGACAAAGGGTGGGTACATGTATAGAATTAAGGTTGTACCTCGTGAACTCTCAACATTGAATGCATCATCACCTGCCCAAGTGCTTGAGAAGTACGTAGCATATCAACGATTGAAGCTATCCCTACTAAGTACAAATTTATCATTCATTGACTGTCCTCGTTGCTTCAGAGCTTGGTGCTTTGATGATTCGATGAGAACTGACAAGGCAAGGGCTTATGTAATGGTGCACGATGATGATAACATTAATTAAATATATGAACTGTTCCTGTATATATTCACTTCGCCTCAATGGAGGCGGTAGATTTGATTTTGTTATAAGATTATATCCTGATGAAATATTGCGTACGCGCTCTATAGTAACCTGCCAAAACACCATGTTCAATCACAAAATGCCTGTCTCTCGTTATCCGTTACGAAGCTGGACTTCTCGGATTTCCTGAACCATTTCCTCTGCTTCTTGTTCCTCTCCTTCTCCCTCTGTGCTTCGGGGTCCTTGTCGCTAATATTGTTGTAATGGGGGATGCCCAGTTCCTTATCTTGTGCTAGACGTTCTATATCCCTCTTTGTTAGGGGAACGCCCTCGATAGCCTTGACATGTTTGCCTTCCACACCCATCATGATACCAGCAATCGCACCAGCTATGCACGCTAGGCAAACGAAGAGACCGGTCGACCAGCTGGGTCGGTCGTATCGATTTAAGGCCCACATAAATCCGGACAACACGCATTGAAGGAATGTGTTGGCAACATTGAAGTAAATGACGAAATCTAGTTTCCACAAGTTTGTCGGAGGCGCTCGAATGCCCGTCGGCGGAGCATCCGATATCGTAGCGAGAGGATAGGGAACGCTATCGATATTGAAGTTTGCGGCAGTCTCCTCGATATTCTTTGGTCCAAGAGCTATAGGTAATTGATTGGAACCCGAGAGACGGAACCAGCCCCGATGGACTCCCGCAAGCCTTCGCAGAGCCTTCTGGTCTCCCCGCAGACGATATCGCAACAAGAAGTACCAGTCACGGAAGCGCCACGGTGCCAGGCCAAAGCCGGTCACGCAGAACAGTCCGTTGAGTATTTGCGAGTCGGTCTCGATCCATATTCGGCGCGGGGAGTCGATATGATTGCAGTCGTAAACGCCGTTGACCAAACACATTTGCGGCGCCGCATTGCACAGCAGGAGGAAGAGCATGCCACCCCAAGCGATAACATTGAGCGAATAGATTGTAAGGAAGAAACCAAAGCCAGTGTTGTAGAATTCCCAGAACGAAACCGTTCCCATCCGAATCTGCTCCTTTATGGGATATTTCGGCGGGAAGTGGTATCCATTCGCATACTCATGCATCTGGACGTTCACTGCAGCCACGTTTGAAGCGAACGCAGCCCCTACTCCCTCCTGTGCCTGGTTTGGCGGGATCGGCACGCGTTGATTTAAAGAGCCATTCTGCTCCGTCGCTGTCGAGACTGTCGTGACCCGTTCGACGCCGTCATCCCGATCTTCTTTGGATATTCTCGGCGAATCTAGCGACATCTTTAGACGACGCTCGTTCTAGCGTCTAAGACCGATAATTCGCGTGGTTTCTGCTTTCGAGTACTAAGGAATAGAATTGATGGAGTAGTCGGGACAGAAGTGAAGTTAGGGGGGATGTCGGGCGGTCGTTGAAGTTAGAGTGGAGATTGAGTGAGAGTATACGGAATGAAGGATCGAGTCGCACCGCGCAGCTTGGCTTATTACGGGCTATGATATAGGGCCTAGAGCAGCCATATCATGAAAAGGGAGAAAATTACAATAGGGAGTAATGAACAGAACAATGAGAGTTTAGAAGAAACAATCAGATAGAACAATTCAATGATTAACATGTAGGAGGCGAACAAGGAAATGTGAATCTAAAAAGTAAC